TATTGCGGAAAATTATCAATATGTCCTCGGAAAGAGTATAACATTAGTTGATCACATAAGCTCATACCAATCACCAAATTAATCTATATATGGGTGTATAAGTATGGATAGATATATGCATAGACATGGGAGTGGTCACTCGTTATATAACGTGCATTTTCCCTTCCGTAACAGATAAAAAATTGAAAATGAAATGGAGAAAGAGAAAAGAGCGAGCATATAAAAGGACCAAATATTGGTGGAATAGGTGGGCATTTTTTAGTTAGGGTAGTAACAGGAAGGAGAATACTTAGAAGATTAGAAACAGTAGCTATGCAGCTAGACAATTCAAACGAAAGATAGGGATCATTACAGTGAAACTGTTGTATCACAATCATTCTTTTTATTGTATACGTCTCGACGCTCAATTTATCTCATTTATACCAGTTTATTGTTCATTGTGTGTATTCATCTTATTATTCAAATAAACATCAGTGAATTCGTAACGTCATATTTTAACTCATTGATTTATCTACGATTAATTACCAACCAATAGAAAATATTTCGTTACATCCAGTACAGAAATTAAGACTGTATCATCACTCTGACTGCAGTGCCTGATTTTGAAAATGTATCTAGTTTTTTTACTGACTAGGTGGAGATTTCATTCAAGCGCCATTGCAACCACCGTTTGACGCGCAACAAAGTTATAGCCTTAGATTTTTTTAATTTACTTACGCCTTGAACTCCTTAAAATAGAAGTAGTTAAGCTAAAAATTAATCGACTACAAAGAATTCATCAACTCCTGCTGACAACTCTTGCTGACTCTGCCGCAGTTCTTGGAATAGGATGATATATCAGGTTTCTGTTCATGAATATGTATCTTGAAAAGTAAAAAAAATACAAGATCGAATCACGAATGTGTACGATACAAATACATAATGTAACAAACTAGTTAGACAGTATTCGATCTATACAAGATGGAACCGAAAATGCGTGATTTCCACCATGCTTTTTATACTCCTCGAAGCAATGAGTCACTAAGACCTTTTCAAGATCACTGAGCATTTTGTTCCCATCACTTTCGGCACCAGTTTGACTTCTGCCATTTAGCCAAACACTACTGAACCTTAGTTCTCCATTCACATATGCAAAGCCACCACAAGCAATTCGATCCTGATCATACTCAATACCCATGACGTTTTTCAAGAGGTAATCATGCACACGTCCTTGTCCTGCCGCTTTGAGATGTTCCACTGGCCAATCATCTGTACATTGTATAATTATATAAAAACTTCTACCTTTAAATCCATTGGCCTTTCCACCTTCTGTCATAGAGAAAATAAAACAAGAAATAAACATATAAATAATTACTCTTATATGAATATGTAGCATATTCTATATTCACCTTGATTTTCCCATTTAAACTTCCCATCAATTGAATAGATAATAGCACCAGCATAATTGCTTGATGCATTGAATTTATCACAGAAATAGGATGTTTTACAACTCACTGATCCAAATTCACTTTTGATGCGTCGATAGAGATCCTTGAAATTCTTTTTACCCATCTGAAATTTGAGTAATTCACATTTTTAACATAACCGGATGCTGCATTACGGTAAGTGATTTTTTATCTAACGATATCTTTTCATTCATCTCTCTATTCAGATAATCGAAATATTACGCTGAATAAGTAGTGAAAATATATGAAGGTAAGCAAGTGAGTACATGAAGACCAATATAGGTTTGGGTTTGACAGATAGAAATACTAAATTAAAACCCGCAACCACGTAAAGCATGCATTGAGGAAAGTTTTGGAGCACGAAGCAAAACGAATTTCGATTTCATTGCGACATTATGAACTATTTCTTGGTTTTACAGCATCCATGAAACCCTTTTGATGTTGTATCCCCAAATTTTTCCTCGATTTACATAGAAACAATGATATCCATCTAAACCACTACAACCAGCAAGAAACATTATTTGAAATTGATATACAGGGTGTCCCTAAAGTTCCTGTTAATTAAGAACAAGGAGTGTCTATACTTCGACAAAGTGTGAAGGGCTTATTTCTTGCCTGATTATAGAGGGATGTTTAAATTTTTTATCGGTTCAAATCAATTAAACACTTAGTGTTCAAAGATATTATATTTGATCATAATATATAAATTTAAATCTTTTCGTTTGAAAAAGATTGCATTTTTAAAGTTATTCTTTTCTTTTATGTTTAGTTTCCTACGTGATGCACTATCGTCGCAATGATTTGTTCAAAAGACTTGATAAAAAGAAGCTTATCAATGTTAGATCCACTAATAAAAGAAAAAATTTCATTGGGACGGCAACGTATCACTTGGAAAACTGAAGCCCTAAAGATATCAAACGAAAAAAAATGATTTGAAAAGTGCAACTTTTTCGGAAAGAAGAAAAAGTTTAAATTTATGCATTTTGCTCGCATGCAATGTGTTTGTACGTTATTTGTTGACTAAATCTAAATCAATAAAACTTTAAGTATCTCTCTACAATCAGTCATTAAATAGGCTCTTTACACTTGATGGAAGTATAGATACTGTATTTTTGTGAAACACGATCTGAAAGGAGTGTTGAGGTGTATATAGGCATAAATTTGGGGATACAACATCAAAAGGGTTTCATGGATGCTGTAAAACCAAGAAATAGTTCATAATGTCGCAAT